CTCCCGCCGAGGGTTCGGATCCCACATACAGACTGGCCGCTCACTGGCTGAGCGAGGGGCAGGAGCAACACCGAGGGTTGCGATCCCGTGGCCGGTCCCGGTCCGGTACGGGCGCGACACTGAGGGTTGTGATCCGTTGCCGGTCACGAAAAAAGACAAAAAAAAGGAAAAAAAAAAAAAAAGAATGCATTTTCATATCACACAGTTCGCCTCATCTGTGTACTAAGTTTCTCCCACAGATAAATTTCTAACTCTTCCCTCCCCACAACTAGAGGATCTAAGGTTCTGGGAGCAACGATATCAACATTTATCTCAGAGTTAAAGAGATAGAACTATTCTCCAAACATCCTAATATAATAGTAGACTCATGAGTAAGTATATTATTGATTATATTAACTACAAATTACCCTATACCTACACCAAAGTTATATACAGTTTTGTTTATATTCATAAAGATAAATACTTAGTAGTAAATTCTATTTGTTCCATACAGACAAAAGTCATTCATCTTTACAAAGTCAAGCAGTCCAGAGGTTTAACCATTGGTTCATTGCTTCAATGTGTCCTTTATAATGGGGCAATATACTTTCCATAAATGTATTTACTGTAACTACTTCTGTTGAAAATTAATAACCGTCAACACACAAGACCTTTCCCATTTAGCTAAAGCACTAAAACTTTGCCAGACAGATGAGTCTGCTTCAGGGTTTTTGTTTTGTTGTTCTTATTCTTGTTCTTGTTTGCTCTCACAGGTAGAACTACTATACTTTTCTCAGTAACTCATTCCAATGTTTATCAACCCACCTCATGAGGAAACTATTCTTTACAATTTTTAAATATAAATCTCTCATATGGTGACACTTTCATTCTATTATTAATGGAGAGGGGAAACTACTACTTGATGAGCCTTCAGAATCCTGAAGATTTTGATCATCTCTTCTCCATAGAAAAGAATCCATGTACTTTAACATTTCCTCAATTTCCCATTTTCTCACCTTTTAATCATCTTCATTGTTCACCTCTAAACTATTTTTTGCAATGATGCCTTTAAACTTTAATTAATAAAGAGCTAACCTCTAAAAAATTATAAAACTGAGGGAGGCTATTTGCTTCAGAAACCAATGCTTAGAGGTTGTTTTATTTGGTTGTCTTTTAATAAATCTCCATCTAAGAACTGGTCAAAACATTATTTAAACTACAGGAACACTACCCAATGTATAGTAAGAATGCTCCTCATAATATAAGTCACAAAATGTATACATACATTTAGCTTTCTGCTCTTCACTTATAAGCAAACCTACTCTCTTGGTAACTGCCCAGTTCCACAGGTTTACTGCCATTTCTTCAACCTGGACAAAGAAAAACATTTCCAGTTAAAACAGTGTCCACCTCCAGTGATATTTTATTTCTTGTAAGCTTCATGCTCATGTAACTATTGTGGGTCACTTCCAGGCCCTCCATAGTCTAGTCCCATTCTACCTTTTCCCCAAAAACTTATCCACTGATAAAGTAATTATTTCACTGTCCTCTGAACACAACTTATTCATTCCTATCTGTGTATCTTTATTCATACTGTTGGTTTTACCTGATATACCTCCTCCCCTAGTCTTTATGTAACTCAAATTCAGTTCAATCTCACAAGCAACATCCATAAAGCTTTCAGCAACCACTACAGTCTACAATGGTCTTTCTTCTTTGAATTCCTATATTCATTAAGTTTCACACAATTTAGCAATTAATTATACTACTTTGTATCATTTATTCTTTAATTGTTTTAGTTCTTTTTCTTACTTCCCAACTAGGCTCCTTGATATCAAAGATCATGTTTTTTACAACTTATGTAGCATTCATAGTACCTGTCAAAATGCTGAATAAAGAAAGTACATTCAATGATAGGATTTTTTGGTTTATTATGTTTTGTGCTGGGGACTAAGGGTCAAAGTTTCTAATTGCTTCTTTTGGTGGTTATGTTTCTATCAGGTGGAACCTAGTCAGCTGGATACTATGTCAACTAAATCAAGCTCATAGTGTCTTAAGGAAAAAATGAAGACACAAAACGTGCAACTGGGGAAAAGTTGGTTTCTGGGAAAAACCTCTGAAGGCAATAATTAGTACTGAGACCAATATGGCATAACCCTGGCCTAAATCTCCCAGGGTACTATGGTGAATATAAGAGAAGCTATATAACATTATCTTATAATAAACATATCAGTAGTAATTTGACTTAAGACAGAAAATAACTGGATAGACCAAAAGAACCCAATTTATGCACAATTATGGTGCAAAATTATTTTAGTTTTAAGTCTTTTCTCCAGTGCCACTTTTCTCACAGTTCCACATTTTTCTGATGAGCTTCCCATTTAAAAATGATTTATTTAGCACGGCTATCATTTCATTTACTATTCTCAGGCTATTGTCATGCCCATCTCCATCCCTCTCACATAGTATCCCCATGCCACAGTTGATCTAATAATGACTTTCACATGAAGTATTATTTGATTTGTATCACTAAAAACACATGAAGTCAATATTTGACTCCAAATCTCCCAACAGAACAAAGGGTTTGAGGTATTTGGCAGGGGGTGGGAATTAACATCCAGACTAAAACAGCTTAAAGAAGCTACCTTTTTTGGCATTTGGAAAGCAATTGGCAACATGTAAAAACAGCCAAAATATGTTTATATCATTTGACCTACTAGTTGCTCTTCTGAGACTCTATCCCAAAGAAATAGTCCAAAATCGGGGGTATCCCAAAGAAATAGTCCAAAATCTTTTCACTTAACAGTGTTCCTCATATCATTATTTATAATAGGATAAAATAAGGAACAATATAAATAACCAGTAATAAAGAAATACATAGATGAATTACAATAAATACCCTAGATGAAATTGTATTCAGCCATCTAAAATAGTCATCATGGAAACTATGTTTTTAACATGGGAAAACATTTATTATGTGTTTAGTGAAAAAAGCAAGATACAAACTTGTATGTACAAAAACTTGCACATATGTAAATTTTACCTCAGAAAAGAGCTATAATAAAATACTGGATTTTAGTTAATAATATGCATGCTGAAACATTTAGGTGGGAAATGTACTGATGTCAGAAACTCACTTTAAAATGCATCCAAAAATGGCTTCCAATCAAAATGGCGGAATAGACAGTCCCCAACATCACTCTCTCCCACAATCAACCAATTTACAACTATAAAAAAAGCAACAACAGCCAAGCTGGGGTCGCTAGAGCTCAAGGGAAGAGGAGGAGAGACCTACGGAGTGCATAAAGGCAGGAGAAGCCATAATGAGAGAAAGAAAGGATTGCTCCCACCATTTTGAATCCCAGCTGCTTTAAGACTGGAGCTGGTGAGTGCACAGAGCAAGAGCTGGCAAAAACTGCTGTTGTGCCCTTCTGATGAAGTTGCTTGGAGGCAGCAGGGTAGAAGAGGGACTTCGTGCCCCTCAGGCCAGAAAGACCACTAACAGGGTTCCCATGGACCCACACAGGAGTAAGGAGCCACAGACAACTGAAAAAAGGAGACACTGAGAAGCCGGTGAGTCATCGCAAAGGACCAGCACACAGCAAACCCCATGCGAAGTGTTTGGAATGCGGGCGGTGGGGTAGACGGGCCCACCAGGGGAACATTGGGACACAGCATGGACAGCTGATCTGCCCTCCAATCAGCGCAGGCCAACTCTGTGTAGACTGGTCAAGAATATAGAACTGCAGGGGTGCAGTTTGCTGAAATGACTCAGGCCCAGACCAGAGTTTCCACACAACCCATGCATACCAGATCTCACAAGACCTGGAAGTACCTAGTAAATCAACAATTAAAACCTGAGCTGCACAAAAAGCCTTTCCCTGGGAATAGCAGCAAAGCAGCAATTTAGCTCAACCACAAGGCTCAAGTGCTGGTCCCCACAGAAAGCTCCCCCATTTTAGAAGTAAGCAAAGGACAACAAATTAGTTCCAGTGCAGAGTTTAAGTAGTGGGAACAGCAAATAATCCAACACAGAACTGAAAGAAAAAACAAAATACCCACAGACCAGAGCCAAAGTTTGATATCAACTAGTAAAGGTCTCACTTTACCAAAGAACACCTATAAAACCTAGAAGGACTGGAAGCCCCCTGGACTCTCAAGCCAGGGAGTGGGGAGGGCTGGGGACCTCAGCCATGCCCCCCCAATACCCACAACCAGCCCAACCACAATCACCAAGCCACCACAGCAAGCAACCCAAGCCCCAGAACTTAGATGGTGGGGGGTTGAGGGCCTCAGCCACGCCCCCCTCAGCACCTGCAACCAGCCTAGCAACAACCACCAAACCACTACTGGAAGTCCCCTGGTCTCCTGATCTAGGGCAGTGGGGGGGCCAAGGGCTTCAGCCACACCCCCGTGACATCTGCATTGAGCCCAGCAATGACTGAGCCACCACAGGAAGTGCCCTGGTCTCCCCTTCAAGAATGAGTGGGATGCCACAAGCCTCAACCATGCCCCACCTCCTTCCTCCTTCTCCCACCCTATTTCCTTCCCCCTTCCTCTCTCCCCCACCCCCAATTGCTCTACAACAACATTTTAGAATGTAAAAACGGAACTAGGGACCGACCCCTCCTCCCACATCCAGGCACACTGCCACTGCCATGGGGTCCACCCAGGGTCCTAAGGCATGGAGTCGGGGACCAACCCCTCTTCCAACAACTAGGCATGCTGCCTCTGGAGCCAGGAACTGACCCCTCCTCCCACATCCAGGCACACTGCCACTGCCATGGGGCCCACTTCGGGTCCTGAGGCATGGAGCTGAGGACTGACCCTCCTCTTGCAACCAGGCAAAGGTACACCAAAACCCCACTTCTGCATTGGTGGCCCACAACAGCCATGGCTGCCACAAAAGTGGCTACACACCACAACCACCATGTATTTTTCCAAATTTCTGTAAAATTGTGTTACTTTATGATTTTAAGCAATTTCTTGTATTTTTCCATATTGTGTTAGAAAGGATAAGGTGAATTATGATTGTAAATAGTCACAAAATACATATTTATTCAACAAATATGTATTAAGCACCTAATAATATGTGGCAGATTTTATGCTAGGTTTTTATAAATGTGTAATGATAAATATATGTTTACATATGCAGCAAACAGAAATAAATAATATGAAGATTAGGCTCTCTAGAGAGAAAACAAATTCAAAGCATTTCCAAAACCAAGCAAATCTTGCAAAACAAGACAAGACTCTTGGCACTGAATCTGATAGTATCTTTTCACTAACAACCAAGCACAGTAAGAAGAGGTTATAATCTAAAAAGAGACTTACATACTGGGCTGGCCCCATGGCTCACTCAGAAGAGTGCAGCGCTGGTAGCGCCGAGGCCGCGGGTTCGGATCTTATATAGGGAAGGCCGGTGTGCTCACTGGATGAGCATGGTGCCGACCACACCGTGCCAAGGGTTGCACTCCCCTTACCAGACAGAGAAAAAAAAGAAAGAGAGAGAGACTTACATACTAAGGAATCCACTAAAGACATTAGAACTAATAAATGAGTCCAGCAAGGTTGAGGATACAAGATCAATATTCAAAAATCAATTGTATTTCTATACACTAGCAATTAATAATCTGAAGATTAAATTAAGAAAATAATTACTTTTATAATAACATCTAAACAAGTCAAGAATAGACTTATGAAAATAAGTGCAAAACTTATACCCAAACCAAAAACATTTTTGAAAGAAATTAAAGACAACTTAATAAATAGAAAGACATACTATTTTCATGGATTGGAAGTCTTAATACTGTGAAGATGGCAACACTCACAAAATTGATCTACAGATTCAACTGTACTCCAAAGCAAAATTCCAGCTGGCTTTTTTGCCTGAATTGACAAGCTTATTCTAAAATTCACATGGAAGTTCAAAGGACTAAGAATAGTGAAAACAATCTTGGAAAACAAGAACAAAATTGAAGGACTCACACTTCCCAATTTTAAAACTTACTACACACCTACAGCAACCAAGCCAGTGTGGTACTGGCATAAGGACAGAAACATAGATCAATGGAATATAAGTAAAAGTCCAGAAATAAACCCTCACATTTATACCCAACTGATGCTATGACAAATTCAATGGGGAAAGAATAGTCTTTTCAACATATGGTGCTGGAACAACTTGATATCCACATGCAAAAGAATGAAGTTGGATCCCTTTTCACACCATACACAAAAATAAGCTCAAAATGGATTATAGACCTAAATGAATGAAACTTATAAGAAAATATAGAAGTAAATCTTCATCAACCTTGAATTAAGAAAAGCTTTCTTGGATATGACACCAAAAGAAGGAGCAATGAAAAAAAATAGATAAATCAGACTTCATCAAAACTAAACCTTTTTTGCTTCAGAATACCATCAAGAAAATGAAAAGACAACCCACAGAATGGGAGAAAATATTTGCAAATCATGTAACTGATAAGTTACTTGTATCTAGAATATATAAAGAACTCCTACTATTCATAATAAAAAGAAAAATACCCAATTTAAAAATTGGCAAAGGATCTTAACAGACATGTCTCCAAAAAAGATATATAAATGGCTAGTAAGCACAAGAAAAGATGCTCAACAACATCATTAGCCACCAGGAAAATGCAAATCAAAACCTCACTAAGATACCACCTTACACCCACCAGGATGGCTACTATCAAAAAAGAAAAACAAAACAGAAAATAATAAGTGTCAGCAAAGATGTGGAGAAACTGGTACCCTTGTGCACTGTTGATGGGAATGTAAAATAGTACAGCCATTATGGAAAACAGTAATGGTGGTTCCTCAAAAAATTAAAAATAAAATTATCATATGATCCTGCAATTCCACTTCTGGGTATACTCATATATCCAAAAGAATTCAAAACAGGGACCTGAACAGATATTTGCACACCCATGTTTGTGGCAGCATTATTCACAATAAGTAAAAAGTATAAGCAACTCTAGTGTCCAGCAAAAGATGAATGTAGAAACAAAACATGGTATATACGTATAATGGAATATTATTCAGCCTTGAAAATGAAGGAAATTCTGACACATGCTGCAAATGGATGAACCTTGAGGATATTATGCTAAGTGAAATAAACTAGTCACAAAAAGACAAATATTATGATTCCACTTATATGAGGTACTGACAGTAGTCAGATTTATAGAAACAGAAAGTAGAATGGTGGTTGCCAGGGGATGGGGAGAGGGGGAAGATGGAGTTATTTAATGCGTATAGAGTTTCAGTTTTGCAAGATGAAAAGAGTTCTGGAGAACAGTTACACAAAAATGTGAATGTACTGAACACTACTGATGGTTAAGATAGTAAATTTCACATGAGGTATATATTACCACAATTTTTTAAAAAAACACAATGAGCTACCACTTCACACTCACTAGGATGACTATAATCAATAATAAACATTGGCAAGAATGTGGAAAACCAGATCCCTTATATAATGCCAGTGGTAATGTAAAATGGTACAGCCACTCTGGAAAACAATCTGGCAATTCCTCAAAAGTTTAAATAGTTACCATATGACCCAGCAATTTCACACTTAGGTTTACCTAAGAGAAATAAAAATATAAAAGCATGTACATGAATATTCATAGAATTATTCATAATAGCCAAAAGGTGAAAAAAAAAAGAAAATGTTTATCAGTAGATGAATGGATTAACAAAAATGTGGTATATCCGTTGAATGGGATTTTTTTTTTTAGTTTATTTGTTTTGTTTATTCCTTTTTGGCCATAAAACAATTCTTAACACATTTAAAAAGACTAAGATCATAGAAAATATTTTCTCTGACCACAATAATAGAAGGAAATTTAGAATATCTAAAAAATGTGTGCAAATTAAACAACACTCTCCTAAATAAACAATGGGTAATAAGAAAAATCACAGGGAAATCAGAGAGAACTTTGAGATAAAAATCAAAGTGCAACATATCAAAATTTATAGGCTGCAGGTCTCAAACAGTGCTCAGAGGAAAATTTATACATGTAAACACCTATATAAAAACTAAGAAAAATCTCAAGTCAGTAATGTAAACTCCTATATCTTAATAGAAAAAGAAGAGCAAACTAAACCAAAAGTAAATATAAGTGGGAAATAACAAAGATTACAAGAGAAATATAATGAAATAGGGAATTTCAAAACAGTAGAGAAAATCAACAAAACCAAAAACTGACTCTGAAAAGATCAAAAAAAAAAAAAAAAAAAGTTGGCCGGCCCGGTGGCGCACTGCTACAGTGCGCCGCTTGGGAAGCGCAGCGGCGCTCCCGCCGAGGGTTCGGATCCCACATACAGACCGGCCACTCACTGGCTGAGCGAGGTGCGGGAGCAACACCGAGGGTTGCGATCCCGTGGCCGGTCCCGGTCCCGTACAGGCGCGACACTGAGGGTTGCGATCCGTTGCCAGTCACGAAAAAAAGACAAAAAGGAAAAAAAAAAAGATCAAAAAAAGTTGCAAAACTTTATCTAGACTGACCAAGATAAAAAGAGAGAAGACCAAAATTACTAAAATCAGAAATAAAGCAGAGACATTATTACATTGTCAGCATGGTTTTTTGTGGTGGTAAGATTTAGTTTCTCTTTCTTGTTAGCATTTTTGTTCTACCAATGGGTTTTGTTCTTTCTTGTGTATTTGTGGTAGTGATAATTGTTTTTCAGATTCCAGATACAAGACTTCCCTGTATGGCTGGTTGTGTGGTGGTGAACTCCCAGAGGTTTTTTTTTTTTTTTTTTTTTTTTTTGTCCTTTTTGAGACCGGCTGCACTGCGCTCAGCCAGTGAGCGCGGTGAGTGCACCAGTCATCCCTATATAGGATCCAAACCTGCGGCGGGAGCGCCCAGCGCCGCACTCTCCCAAGTGCGCCACAGGCTCGGCCCCCACAGTTTTTGTTTGTCTGGAAAATACACTATTTTTCCCTCATTTCTGAAGTATAGCCTTGCTGGGTACAGTATTCTTGGCTGGCAGGTTTTTTCTTTCAGTATTTTGAATATATCATCCCATTTTCTTCTGGCCTATAGAGTTTCTGTTGAGAAGTACACCGTTAGTCTGATATGAGCTCCCTTACAGGTGACTTGACACCTGTCTCATTTCTTTTAAGATTCTCTCTTTGTCTCTGAGCTTTGCCAGTTTGACTAGAATGTGTCTTGGAGAGGCTCATTTTGGGCTGAATATGTTTTTAGGGATTTTTGAGCTTCCTGGATCTGAAGGTCCATGTCTCTTCCTATACCTGCGAAATTTTCCATTATTATTTCATTGAATATGTTTTCCATGCCTTTTCCTTTCTCCTCCCCTTCTGGAACACTCATGATTTGAATGTTTGTGTGCTTAAGGTTGTCTGCTAGCTCTCTTAAATTTTCTTCATTTTTTAATTCTTTTTTCCTTTTTTTTTTTTTTTTTTGTCCACCTGGGTTATTTTAAAAAGATTATCTTCAAGATCAGAAAGGCATTAATCTCTTTGTAAATTTCTTCTTTTATATCCTGGATTTTTAAAATTTCATTGTGTTGTCTAACTGAGCCTTCTCATATCTCAGTAAGTTTCCTTCAGATTGTTGCTTGGAATTCCTTTTCAGTCATTTCAAGGATTTCCTGCTCTATAGGGTCTGGTATTTGAGAATTACTGTATTCTTTTGGTGGTGTCATATTTTCTTGGGTTTTCATATTTCTAATATATCTACATCAATATCTGGTCATCTGATAGAGCATGTAGCTTCTTATGTTACTCTGGAGAGGGATTTGAAGAGAGAGATGTCCTATTCTTTTTCTGGTCTCTGCTGGTGACTCTTCTTGTATCAATGCAGTCAAGTGTCTGGCAGACCACCTGCATAGTGGCTCTGGCTACTGCTGTAGCATCAAGCTGCTTTTGTAGCAGCCATGGCTATGGCAGTGGCTGTGGTAGGCTACCCGCACAGAAGTGGTTTTTTCGGCATGCTCCTTGCCTGCTTCTAGGAATGGGATGCTGCCTTTGGCTCCTGCCTAGGATCCCAGGCATGCTCTGTTTCTTGCATGCTTCTGGACATTGAATGGGATATTATTGAGTCATAAAAAGTTATGAAGTACAGATACATTCATCAACATGAATGAACCTTGAAAACATGCTATGTTAAAGAAGTCAGCCACAAAAGACCATGCATTATATAATTCCATCTCTATAAAATGTCCAGAATAGGCAAATCCATAGAGACTGAAAGTAGATTAGTCACTGCCTAGGGCTGGTGTGAGCAGAGGAAGTAGAAAGGAGGAAATAGAAAGTGTCTATGAATGGGTGCAAGGTTTCTTTTGGGGGTGATGAAAATGTTCTAAAATTAACTGTGATGATGGGTACACAACTCTGTCAAACACTAAACATCATTGAATTGTCCACCTGAAATGGGTGAATTGTATGGTACATGAATTATATCTAAATAAACCTATTATATATATATAAAATGAGGGAGAAAGATTTACAGTAAACTTTCTTCTCACCTTTCCATATAAGCTGTAACCAAAATGGAAGTATCTGCCTAAGGTAAATGTTACCAAAAGTGTTTCAGAGTGTCGAGGCAATTTCCACATTAAGTAAGTGACAGACCTTCATTTAAACATTAGAAAAATTATCACCCCCAAAAAAAACTCCTCTGAAGAATTACATTCAACTGAGTTCCACACTACCAGGTAGTTTCCTTTGCTATAAAGGGAAGACAAAAAGAACGATAATTTAGTGACTAACTACCATGTGCCAAGAACCTTATATATGTTATTTTGTTTATGATTCACAACACCACTGGGAGGTGGGTACAACTATTATCCTTTAACAGATGAGAAAACCGAAGCCTAGAGGAGTTAAATAATAAATATTAAACTTGAGCACATATTTTGCCATTTGTTTCTAAAACTCTATTTTCCCTAAATATGCCATTAGGTTTAAAAATCCAAAAATGGATTTCTATATGTTTAGCAATGGTTAAGCATGAAGACTATTTTTTTTACCTATACATTAGTTAAAATGATGAATCATCAAAATTTATCACAAACAAAATTATTTTTATACCAACCTGAGCATCCTGTATTTCAGCCATAGACTCCCTGTTGATATTTGCTATGTCCATGAAGAGTCTATCAATTGCCTCAGGTATGCCAGGTGAATTATCTCTTATGATCAGGTTTTCAATAGTTTCTGAAATAACAATGGTTAATAAACATGTGAACTATCACCATCAGCTAAAAGTAGCAAATCATTTTAAAACCTGTTACTAGATCTTTGCCCAAACGAAGGAACTTGAAATGACCCTTAGAGTAAAACCAACTTGTAGTTAAGTTTCTTTTAGCTAAAGGTAGAGTACAATTTTCAAACAAATTTGTATTCCATGGGAATCACTTGTTTATAACGTATTCATAATTACTCATTCTCAGAAAGTAGAATTCATTGACTTCACAAATAGTAATGTTATTAAAGGTAATCTTAAAACTACAAAGAAAGGGCTTGCCAATTAACTCAGTTAGAACACAGTCTTATAACACCAAGCTCATGGGTTCAGATCCCCATATCGGCCAGCCACCAAAAAAAGAAAAACAAAAAAAAACCCTACAAAATAGAAGTTAACGATATCTTCAAAACTAGGGCCGGCCTGGTGGCGCACTGCTACAGTGCGTCGCTTGGGAGCGCAGCAGCGCTCCCGCCGAGGGTTCGGATCCCACATCCAGACCGGCCGCTCACTGGCTGAGCCAGGTGCGGGCACAACACCTAGGGTTGCGATCCCGTTGCCGGTCCCGGTCCGGTACGGGCGCGACACTGAGGGTTGCGATCCATTGCCGGTCACGAAAAAAAAGACAAAAGGAAAAAAAAAAAACTAGAAAATGAAGGGATTCTGAAGGAAGACCTGGATATGTGCACCCTGCAAGGATCAGACAGACATAGCTCACTTATGCTGGTTCTGAAGTCTTGACCTTATTTTGTAAGAAAAAAATGACACACCCAATTAGCAACAACATTAGCCAGTTATTGAATCCGTACAAATGATGTCACCATTTTCTAAACAGTCTAAGCTCCAGGCTCCATATAGCTGAATCTACCAGGCCATGGAATTCCTTAAAACCCAAGCATAATGTAGAATTACAATTGATGCCTTTCATACTATCAAAATAGAGGTTTTTCTTTTTTTTTTTTTTTCCTTTTTGTCTTTTTTCGTGACCGGCAACGGATCGCAACCCTCAGTGTCGCGCCCGTACCAGACCGGGACTGGCAACGGGATCGCAACCCTCGGTGCTGCGCCCGCACCTCGCTCAGCCAGTGAGCGGCCGGTCTGGATGTGGGATCCGAACCCTCGGCGGGAGCGCCACCGCGCTCCCAAGCGGCGCACTGTAGCAGTGCGCCACCGGGCCGGCCCCAAAATAGAGGTTTTTCTAAACTCATACAACTGAAGTCTCCATAAGCTACACATCTCTAATTTCTTGCAACATTCCTAAGCATCAAACTAGCGAGAATGTTATTAATATTCATAACAATACTATAAAAGCACCTTCCAAAATATTTTTAAGCTGCTAAAATAGACTTTTAACCTGCTACAATAAACAATACATCAGCTACAAAAAATTTCAGTTAAACATCAGAAAAGAATTCAAATAAAGGCTGCACAAATCAAATTATGTTCAAATATACTTACTCAAATATTTTTTACAGAACATGGAATCTTCGGAACCCAGTGCGTGAGCAGAGGTATTAGGGAAATTCTATCACATATACTTTGAACACTTCAGGTGATAAGATATATTCAAAAAGAAAAACCTCTATCTTCCTTTCTTCTATAAAGTATTTAATACAGTGTGCTCGTAGCCGCCACCACGCTGCTGTCACTCTCTAACGTCAGCACCGTCTCTTGCTCGCTGAGCTCTAGCCCGAGGAGAAGGGGGGCAAGTAAGGAGGTCTCTATACCATGGCTCGTACAAGCAAACTGTCCACAAATCGACCGGTGGTAAAGCACCCAGGAAACAACTGGCCACAAAAGCCAGTGCACGAGTGCACCCTCTACTGGAGGAGTGAAGAAACCTCATCGTTACAGTCCTGGTACTGTGGCACTCCGTGAAATTAGACGTTATCAGAAGTTCAAAGTCCACTGAACTTCTGATTCACAAACTCCCCTTCCAGCATCTGGTGCGAAAAATTACTCAGGACTTCAAAACACATCTGCGCTTCCAGAGCGCAGCTATTGGTGCTTTGCAGGAGGCAAGTGAGGCCTATCTGGTTGGCCTTTTGGAAGACACCAACCTGTGTGCTATCCATGCCAAACGTGTAACAATTATGCCAAAAGACATGCAGCTAGCAAGCCGCACACGTGGAGAACGTGCTTAAGAATCCACTATGATGGGAAACATTTCATTCTCAAAAAAAAATTTTTCTCTTCTTCCTGTTATCGGTAGTTCTGAACGTTAGATATTTTTTTTCCATGGGGTCAAAAGGTACCTAAGTATATGATTGCAAGTGGAAAAATACGGGACAGAAATCAGGTATTGGCACTTTTTCCATTTACATTTGTGAGTGAATTTTTAATATAAATGCGGGGACATAAAGCATTAGTGCAAGTCAAAATGTTTCAGTGAACAAGTTTCAGCAGTTCAACTTTATAACAATTTAAACCTGTTAAATTTTTCTGGACAATGCTAGCATTTGGATTTTTTTAAAACAAGTAAGTTTCTTATCAACGGCAACTAAATGGTGTTTGTAGCATTTTTATCATACGGTAGATTCTATCCATTCACTATATTTTTCTGAGTTGTCCTACATGCAAGTACATGTTTTTAATGTTGTGTCTTCTGTGCTGTTCCTGTAAGTTTGCTATTAAAATACATTAAACTATAAATAAATAAATAAATAATTTAATAGAAGGACTGATATTAAATATCTTGACTCCTCTAAGATTGGGTAAGTATTGGGCTGAAGGGCATATATTATAGCCCTACAAATACTGATAACAGGATCAGGGAGGCTTAAAAAATGATGTTTTTTAAAAATCTAAATATTATCTAAAAACAGATATTTTGAAAGGAAAACAAAAATCCAGTATAAATTTTTAATGTGAGTTGTTTTTTTGAAATAAAAATCCTAAGATGTTACTGTAGAATACCAATTATAATTTCTGGTTACATAGTATATGAGACTGTGAAGACATTAATTTTGATTTGTGAATGCTCTCTTAAGTGGTTGTTTCATGTAACTCATTTTTGTCAAAATAAGTTTGGTCCTTTCAAAACATATTTTCAATGTCATTCAGTTGAGCAACTTGATTGACACCAGCTGAGGCAACGACAGCACTGCAGTCAGCAAAGCTGGGTAAGTAGTAGACAACACATAGCCGAATGGCTGAGAGTTACACTATGAAAGAGAGATTTGCTTCTGGGAGAAGCTCAAAAAAGAGGTTTTATAAATGCAATATACTCCTGAGATGTGAAAACAATATGCTGTGTTAAGGTTATATAAAGCAAGATTGTACACTTTGGGGAAAATGATTAATTATCTTCCTGGCTACTGAAATAAACTATGATGTACAACATGATTTCAGTCAATTTAATTTAAATGAGATCCATCCTAGTTAAGATTAGGGGGTCACCCTATTGAGGCAGCCATGTTAATCATATCAATTAATTCTGATTAGTTAGAAAGCATTCTACATACAGTATAATAATTTTGGATACAGGACAATAAACATTTTCCCTGTCCTTGAAGAAGAGAGCTTCTGTTACAACATGGAAAAATCTATCAACAGTCCTGCCAAGGCTCTTCTTGTGACCTCCATCAGCTCAACCAGTCATTCAAAAGCCAAAGCAGCTCAAAGACCTGCCAGGGTCAATTCAAGGTTTTATTCCTTGTCACAATGATTATATGCAACTTCTTTAGTGAGAAAAGAACCAAAAATGACAATAAAATTAACATTTGCATAGTGTTTTACAGTCTCAAATCTTTTTCATATGCATTCTCATTTAATCTTCAACCTACTCTGTAAGGGAGATATTTTTATTTTATTAGAATGTGGAAACTGAGATTTAACAAAATGAAGTGACTTCTCGAAGGTGATAAAAATAGAAAGTACCAAGCTAGGACTTGAACTCAGGTTTTCTGATTTGAAGTCCCATACTTTCCACTCTACTGGTTATATCAGAAAGGGCTTGAAACAAGTGACAAACCAGAACTCTGAGACAACTAAAAAACAGCAGAGAGAGAAGAAATGAGCCAAGACCTTCAGAGTGCTACACTATGGGACTATGGGACTGCAGAGGCTGGTTTGAATGAGGGCAGCCAAAATATCCAAAACAGTGTCAAAAGGGCATGGCAAACTCAGGTAAACAGGTTTAGTCATAGACTAAAATCACATTTTAAATCAGTTTCTATACATGATCAGGAAGACAATCATTTTTCCTACACAATGTTCCAGGAAGTCCCAAATGACAAATCAGGTATAGTACAAGAAAATAAAAGCAGCAAGTCATAATGCAGAAGTCAGATGAAGCCGCATTGCACCACTGTTTCAAGAGATCTATACACGGCAGTGTGTCGTAGTTCTGAGCAGTGTCCTAATCCCGGAGGACAACAACTAGGGAAGGATGCAGGGCATGCTAACACCATGAAAATCATGACAAGCAGAAACGATACAGCTCCACAGATAAAAGATCCCAGCTCTCAACTTCCTCCTGGGGAGGAAAAGAGTTAATCTATGTGTCTAGTGCCCCAAATTCTCCAGGGCAGCCCAACAAACTAGCATCTGTCTCTCCAGTCTTGAAGCGCTGATGGGTTCAGCACAGTCTAACCACTCAGGGAACAGAGACAGTGGCTTGGGCTGGTAGATGCCTTAGCTCCCCACCACTGGCTCAGCACAGAGCAAGCAAACAAAAACCACAGCTGTCTGCTTTTCCCTGGGGAGGGAAACAGTTGGTAGAAACCCCTAGAATCTCTGGCAGGACTGATTGGTTGTCTTCTCCTGTACAAGGCAAGCCCATGAAGACTAAGAGAGGTACCCTCTGTATCTAATGTATAGACACCAACACAGAGAGTCACGGAAAATGAAGAACTGTACAAAGATGTTCCAAACACAGGAGTAAGATAAATCTTCCAGAAAATAACCCTAATTAAATAGACTTATATGATTTACACGACAGAGAACTAAAAATAACTCTCATGAAGATGCT